TTGTCTGATTCCTGTCATGGAGAAATGATTTTATCCAATTGTAGAGGGGGTTGCGTTATTGTGTCCATATTTTATTTCTGGAACAGAAACCAGCCATTTTTACAGGCATGAACATATGTACACCCAAACATTAAATTCACCATGGAATACGAAAACAACGATGAGTTTAATTTCCTGGACCTAAATCTAAAAAGAAAAAACGATGGAATGGTTGAAAAGTCCATCTACAGGAAAGAAACTTGGGCCGGGCAATACCTTCATTATAACAGCTTCTGCCCTATGAGCTACAAGCGGGGATTAGTGAGGACACTATACGATAGGGCCAGGAAGTTATGTTCGCCTAACAAGGTAGACGAAGAATGAGGCTTTGTCGAAAAGTACCTTAAGGAAAACGGATATTCAAAAGGATTTATCCTAAAGTACAGCAAGGAAAGAGATGAGAAAGAGAAATCTCCAACAGTTGAGAAGAAGAAAGTGTTCATTTGCCTCCCATACAAAGGAGAAACCGTATCGCAAAAGATTGAAAAGAGGATGAAGAGAGATGCTTCCCTTCAGCCAATTTGGTGACACTATACAGTACTACATGCTGTATAAGGTAATCGAAACTGGATAAGTACCCTGCTGATGTTACCTTCAACTACATTTATAAATTTACGTGTACCTGCGTCAGCAAGTACATTGGAAGGACAGAAAGAAGAGCTTCTATCCGGTTTTCAGAGCATATTCCAAGAAACATATGCCTAAAGGGAAGCAGATATTTACGAAGTGCAATTACCAGACACCCACCGTGTGGATACGGGTCATCTTGTCGAGATTTCTAAATCCTTCAAAATATTAAACATACAAAGGACAGCGAATCTACTACGATTTGCTGGAGCAATTGCAATCAAACGTCACAGACCAAACTTATGCATGCAGAAAAAGAGTGTGGTCAATCTCTCACTCCCTTGGTAACCATATCACTTTCACCACACTGATTAGTCATGCACACTAGTGAGCTCAACTCACTAAGCAAGTTTTCAAACTGATGAACCTTGACCTTCTTGATTTGCTATGTTGACACTGTTTATTACATTTTTCTGTTTTCTCTCATCCCGCTCTTTTTTTCTTCTTTCATAGTTTGATAGTATAAAAATTGATGGTGACTTAGATTATAATACTTATATTCCGGATGCGTTCACCTTATCATGTTTTCTCTATTACCTTTCAAACAATGAAGTATGAAATGTTGTTATTTATAACCATTGTAATTTCAGGTAGTTTGCAGCTGACGAGAACCTGTGAAATAGAATGATATCATTTTGTACTGCAAATCTGGTCTTTCCTCATCTATCAAAATTTATCAAAGGAACCAAATGTATGAAATATGTACACTTAATAGAACTTATAAAATATACAATATGATTTGTTAATTTAGAAATAAGTTGAATACTGGTAAATGTGAGAGAAACACTTTAAAAGAAATGTACAAGGAGGATAGTCCTGATTTCGCAGATTTCAACGCACGGTTAGATCAATTATCTCCGATAGTTTCCGAAAGGATCGCTGGAGTGGTGGACGTATACAAATGTTAGAATCGTCATACGAGACCCGCCATCCGACCTTATTACCTTGCTAACATCCAGTCACTGATCTCATTATAGGACACAAGTACTTTGCAAGTACTATCAAGTATTCAAAGCAAATTTTCGATAGTGAAAGGAGGTACTGCTGTCCGTAAAATAATTGATAAATGCATAGAATGTAAGCCACAGAATGCTCGCTCAGCACAGCAGATGATTGCACTCCCATCGTGGCAGGTTTCTGAAGGGAATTATCCATTCGAGTACGTTGTAGTGGATTTGTTCGGACCTCTTGTAGTGAAGAGAGGCAGAACCCTATGTAAAAGATATGGCTGTTTATTCACCTGTTTGAGAATGAGAGCTGTGCACATTGAGATGGTTCATACGTTAACTCCTGACTCATTCGTGCTAGCATTACGTAGATTTACAAATCGCCGAGGTGCCGAGGGTCGCAGGATGAAGCACTTGCCGATTTTCCAACCTAGGGCATCAACCTGAGAAGGGTTGTAGGCGTACTGCTGTAAGTCCTACAATTCTTCAAGGGTAGTTCATCAAGATAGAATCCACAACAATTGATGTATTGATTGCACATATGTTTGTGTTAAGTAATTTAGCGGATTCCAATTAATGTAATCGTTGGTTAATCTTGTTTGTGTCCGGACATTCTTCAGCTTACAATCGTCAACCTGAGAAAAGTTGCAGGCGTACTGGTGTAAGTCCTGCGATTTTTCAGAGGGATTCCATCAAGACATGATCTGCAAAGTTATGTGTACTGTTTGTATATATGTGTGGTATTTTCGGATTCACTGTGTTTACTTGTTATTTTCACACTTTGTTGCATTGCATAATTTTGTTAAAATTTTCGTCCTGCTTACTGATGCTGGGGCTTTCAGCATACGACTTGAAATGCCATTTGTTGCGCATCCCATAGAGATCTCTGTCGGAGATCATTGAGGTATATGAGAAATTCGCAAGCGTCGACTACATCCTGTTATCATCTTCCAGCTCGTGGTGCTATTTAAGAAACTGACTTTCCCGTGAAAACGGTTGCCCGAATTGCTGACCGACTATCAGTAATATTGTGAAAGACCGATAGTCTTTATTAAAATTTATTTCCAAAAGCACGGTAGAGGACAAGCGAAGACAGGAACATCTTTTCAAACGAAGGGAAGGTCATTATATCATTCAGTAGATAAAAAGCCTTACAAATCATAAAGAGAATGTAGTTCTTATTTGGTTTCTTGCTCCCCCTTCTGAGTTCCCAACTCACAAAATATGTGTAGGCACATAATACTGTGTTGTAGAGGCCCACAGATTGAAGACCACGTATCAGTACTCTCAGATAACTCCATGAAAATACGCCAACACTAAAAACTTGCTGCGCCACCCGCTAAACACTACAGATCGAACAGTACTTCCCCTCTCGAAAGATCTTACTACTGTTAGAAGTTTGATTGCAAAGCTATGCCGTATGGCCATGCATTTTCATGTGAGTTTATATGTTTATATGAAAATATACATTATTATTAAAAGGAGGCCATAATTCAGGATCTGAAATCCTCGCCTTTTCTGGAAACGGTGTATATGTGTCGTTTCCGTACGTGGTCACTACAATAACCGGAGAAAAGTCCAAAGACATTTCCCAGGAAGTTGAAACAAATAGGAGATATTGGGATCACTTTCAAAATAACTGACACTGTTAATCTATAGGTTGCCATAAAAGAATTCACCAGCATTCATTCTTTGTTGTTTGTGATGTTATAATGTGGGGCGTATTGTTAGGCACTGACTTCTAACAGCGAAAAGAGTCATAATCAACCCAGAATGCTTCCGGATTAAGCTGAGGAATGCAAGGTCTTTTGCTCAAACGATCTACTAGCGGCGGTCAGTATTCTACCACCTCTAAATTACCTCAGGAAGCAATTGTGAACGTGGACACAAATCCACATCTGTAGGCAAAGGATTGAACCGGCACCCTGTCTCTGCTTCAAAGGTCCAGCGTTGTTCGTCGACGATCAAGCTGTGGGCCGAACTAGCACTATGCATCAGAGATCGAGACTAGGGATAGCCTGCTGTTCGAGATGTCTCCCCGATGGGTTTCTATTCACTAGCAACATCGGTTGGATTTTGTGATCATGGCAAAGTCACAAAAAGTAATAAAACTGTCCTCTACGTCTAAGTGATCCCCCAATTTCCTTGATAGGAAAGAAATACGACAAAATTCGTCCGTGTGTAGATTGTCACCACTTAAATTCCACAACACAACGAGATTTCTTCTCTCGACGTCGTACAGATACTAAGTCAGACTTTGTGGGCACATCCCAACAGCACTTCAGCCTAGACTTAGCCTCTAGTTATTGGCATTTAGAGATACGCCCCGAAGATAGATTTAAGAATGACTTCGCTGTGCCCACTAGATTAAACGAATTTGAAAACATACCGTTCAGCCTTACAGACGCCTCCGCTACGCTCCAAGGATGAATGTGGAAAGTAATTACAGGTTTCGTTCTCAAAAAGTGCCCCGTCTATGTTGATGATGTTATCGTGTTTGGATGGTCACTCGAGGGATATGATGCAAATTTAAGGGCATATTTTGACGTCTAAGTGATAGGAACCCTAAGCTCATAGAGTCTAGATGTCATTTCCTACTGAAGTCCATCGTGAAACCACCCTGTAGAGGCACAGTGGTTAGGACTCTTGCCGACAATGCACATGGTCCGAGGTTCCATCCCCTACCGACGCACACCTCATATCTATGGTCAGCCTGCGAAATTTGGGCTACCGATATCCACGCTGAAAATTCCATACTAGTACCAAAAATACAGTGTGGAATCAAGCTGTAATCAAAATAAAAAATGAATAATACTGACATTAGCTAAGCCCATGCAATTCTGAACTGGCTTCTCGACAGGAAGTGTTGATAGTTTTATGGGATTCATTTCCTACCACCATCAATTAGTCGAAAATTTCACCAGTATGGCTGATCATCTTCAGCCCTTTACGAAGAACATGGAAATTTGTTTGGAGTAATGAGTGCCAGGATTCTTTATTAAGTTTAATATGTGTTTAACTTCCCCTTCGGTGTTAGTATTCCTAGCTAGGTCTACTGGAAGTGGTCATTTCATCTTAAATGCTGACTCTAGTGCACATGCTTATCAGCTGGCGCACACTCGACAACAGTCGTCAAAAAGACGTGTGTAGCCGTCTTGTTCACGGCGAAGTATACTCTGTAGGCGGTTAAGTTTTGCTCCATCGCCCTCGTGAACCGGGCTCAGAATTCCAATCTTCATATCTAAGACCCTTTAAAATCGTGCGGAAGTGCCCCCCGACTCCTTCCATCCCGGAAAGCCTTCGAAATACAAGCGCTGATACTATTCTTTGACTACAATAATTCTCCAAACAATTAATGCCTTTTGTTTCACGAGGTAATTTTGACCTGCCAAGGTCATGTGTTTTCATCGTAAATCACAGGTGTTGTTGGGGATATTAGATTGTGAATAGGTCCGGTGAGTGTAACTGCCTGATATTTTCAAAGATATTGGCAATTCGCATACTGAAACTGCACAAACTAATCTGAGAGTGTGTAGAAGTGGTTGCAATTTACTTCGAGGCGCATGCATATACTGTGGATCTTAAGTTAGCGTGATTTCATCTGCTGCAAGTCCATAACCGTTTGAAAAGTCATGAAAATAATTACCAGTTATTTAATTTCAACCTGCGTTCAACAGAACTAGTTCATTAAAATACAACAGATATATGCCTTCAAGGCAATAGCATGTCATAACGAATCGTTCAACTACATAAATCGGCCTCAGCATTGACACTATGTAAGTGCCAAATTTCAATGCAGTAGTAAGCACTTCAAGTAACCACGTATAGAGAATAGTCAAATACGACCTTTAGACAATGCTTTTTCACTGCTTTCATTCAGAGTGAGAAGCTATCCATTATGAATCTTTACATACCATTAGTGTCACCCTTAAATACATGAAATAGTTACAATACACATGACACATCTTGGTATGTTTTTGTTTAGCAAACATTAGCGTCCCTTGCCTTTCATTATCATGACACCTATTGAAAAGAAGCCGCTGCGGAAGGGCTATGTGCCAGTTTCCAGTGGATGAGGGAATGCAGTGTGATAACTGCAAGAGATGGTTTCACAGTATGTGCACGAACCTTACTCCAGCAGCATACAAACGCTGCTGCAAACCTCTAGCAAACTGGTTGTGCAACGACTGCTGTAGTACAACTAAACTCCGTATTACAGAAGCCAATGCTACTCTTAGTGGGGCTTTAAAGCTCATGGACTGCAAGCGTCCTCCACCACAGAAGAATACCGACTATTGCTCAGATAACGATGACGTGACTAGCGTCATTGACAAAACAGCACATGTCCCAGATGCGACCTTGCCAATAAGTGAGTGCTCTACAGCACAGAAGAACACCCACCACATTCCAGACACCCAGGTCGCCCCCACGATACTGGATAAGCCCTCCAGTGACAGTAATGGAAAGACTGCCGTGAAGAAGAGGCGTACCAGGGGTCGAAAACCTGCAGCTCCAGTCGCCCAGGGACTGGCGGAACAAGCCTCATCCACACCGGTGAGCAGCAGACGGATAAACCCCACTAAGATTAGCGAGGAGGACGCCAATGAATGGCGCACCGTAGTCTCTCGCAAAAAGCGAGATAAGGATAACACTTCGGCTTCACCGCCCAAGAAGGATAGAAACACACTTACGCCTCAGGGCAAGAAAGTCACGGAAAGCAAACCCGATCTCTCTGACAGGTCTCTCATTCTCCACAAAGTGGAGGAGTCACTGGCCCTCGACCCTAAGACCAGATTCGAGCATGACCTTAACTTGGTCAAGCCCCTTTTAGACAAGCTACTGCCACAAACAGTATCAGGCATTACTATACACAGCGTATACAGAATAGGTCAAAAGCCTGACCCTACAGTAAGTGAACCTGTACGTCTCCTCAAAGTCGTACTAAACTCTAAAGAAGAGAGGGATGCTATTCTAAGCAACTCTCATATTCTCAAAGGATCAGGGATATATGTCCGCGCTGACTTAAGCCTAGCAGACCGTGTCAAAAGACAGGCTGCGGCACTAGAATTAAGTGAGCGACGCCGGAACGGTGAGAAGAACCTTAAGATTAAGGGTTTTCGGGTTGTCCGAGTTCGCAGTTTAATGATCCCGAAACCTCTGTGGGTGGGCCGGGGAAGCACCAATCTGAATTAACAGTCTGCTACACAAACGCCCGCAGCCTGTTAAATAAAAGGACTGAGCTGGCAAACATGATAGAAACCGGAAACCCGGATGTAATTATTATCACAGAGACATGGCTCACACCCGATGTCACTGACAACGAAGTTAACCTGCCAAACTTCGAAGTGCACAGGGTAGACCGACTAAACCGCAAAGGAGGGGGCGTAGTCATCTACCTCAAGAAAGGCTTAACCGTGCGTAGTATCGAAGCACTCGCCCACGAAAGTGAGTCGTGCGAACTTCTACGCTGCAGACTTAAATGCATAGGCCAAGACATTGCTGTGTACCGCAGTCCTGACTGCAGTGCAGACGACTTCCTAATAGAGAAGCTAGGCTCCTGGACTTCAAAATGTCGAAGTCTCGTAGTCGGTGACTTCAACGCCCCAACAGTTGACTGGTCGAGCCTAACAACTCCATCTTCAGTCAACTCCTTTGATCATAAACTGCTAGAATCTAGTATATCGCTAGCCCTAGTCCAACATATCATTAAGCCCACGCGCTATGACTCACAGCACTCCTCGTCAACTCTGGACCTAGTGTTCTCACACGGTGAGGATGTGGATCTCATACAACATCTTCCTCCGTTAGGAAGAAGTGACCATGCTGTGCTCACTTTCAAGTTCACAGCAACGGCAGCAAGGGCCAAAACCCCAGCTCGACCAAACGTTTGGAAAGCTGACATAAATGCGATCGTCTCAGCAGCCAACTCAGTAAACTGGTACATCAATCCAGAGTCCCAAGTAGAAGCCGCATGGAACCAATTTAAGCAACTTTACGCCCAAGTAACTGTACCTTTCATCCCTTGGTCTGTTCCAAAGGGTCGGAAACATTCCCCCCCTTGGATAAACCGGGAGATTCGTAAGTTACTCAGACGTAAACGCAAATGTTGGAACCTGTTTGCAACACTTGAGACTTCTGAGACCAGGGAATTATATACTACTGCTAGAAATAAAGCTATCGCAGAAATCCGCCAATCAAGGATGAAGTTCGAGACACACCTGGCTCAAAATGCAAAGGCACAACCTAAGAAAATTTTCTCGTACTTGAATTTCAGGAATAAAACACCCAATGGTGTCCCAAACCTGATTATTGACAAAGATACAATCGAAGAAGATCAAGAAAAAGCAGAAGCAATGGCAAACTACTTCTCCCAAGTCTTCACTCAGGAGTCATCACTGCCTATAGGATCAGCTCTGGCTGCATCAGAAGAACATGGGATAGATTCCGTTGACATCGACCAAGGCATCGTGCTCAACTGCTTAATGAAACTAGATGCAGGGAAATCAATGGGTCCTGACAATCTTCATCCAAGGCTTCTCAAGGAGCTATCAGCCCACATAGCCGGCCCCTTGACCACGATCTTCAAGCTATCTCTCCTAAATGGAGTGTTGCCACGTGATTGGAAAGACGCCATAGTAACCCCCATACACAAAGGAGGATCAAGACAAAGCCCTTCAAATTACAGGCCTATCAGTCTCACCAGCACTTTAATCAAGACACTGGAAAGAATTATCAAGAAAAGCATCATGGCTTATCTGGAAAATAGCAGCTTGTTATCTGGAGCACAGCATGGCTTCCGGAGGAACCTCTCATGCCTGTCAAATCTCCTGACTGCAAGAGAAAGCTGGGTCAAATCAAAGGACAACAGAAGACCCGTTGACGTCGTCTTCATAGACTTCAGTAAAGCCTTTGATAAAGTACCTCACAAAAGACTACTCATGAAATTGGAAAGTCTTGGTATCAAAGGCAGACTACTAGACTGGCTCAGGGAATTCCTCATAGATAGGAGGCAGAGGGTTAGGATCAACTCAAAACTCTCCTCCTGGACAGCAGTAAGTAGCGGAGTGCCACAAGGCACGGTTCTCGGTCCTCTCCTTTTTATTCTGTATATCAATGAGTTACCTCTGCTCACCGACTCCCCTATGGTCCTATACGCAGATGACTTAAAAATTTGGAGAGAGCTGAAGGGCAACAGTGATACGTTCACGTTGCAAGAGGACCTCAACAAATTGTCAGTGGTCTGTTGAATGGATGCTCCCGATCAATGTGGCAAAATGTGCAACCATGCGCATTGGACAAGCAAGCACGAGCTCCTACGAACTAGAGGGAATAACACTTCCATCAGTTCAGACTCACTTGGACTTAGGTGTCATAGTTAGCCACGACTTAAAAACTACAGCACACTGTCGCGCGGTGGCTGCACGTAGTTTCAGGTCCTTATGGGCGATTCGCAGAGCCTTTACAAGAATTACCAGAGATATGTTCACCTCCTTATATACATCTCTGGTTAGGTCAAGACTGGAAAACTGCATCCAGGCCGCCAGTCCTTGTCTAAAAGGGGATTCACACATTCTAGAAAGTGTTCAAAGGAAGGCAACACGTATGGTTCACGGCATAGCTAACTTATCATACGAGGAAAGACTAGATAGTTTAAATCTCTTCTCACTGTCATACCGTAGGCAGAGAGGAGATTTAATCACAATGTTTAAAATTTTAAATAATGACTACGGACCTGACCTATTCTCTCTTTTCCTTCCCACCAGGTCGGAACACCTTAGAGGACATAGCAGGAAGTTCAAAAGCCAAGGAGAAATCATATTGCTGTTGAGTACTGGTTCTCACATCGAGTCATAAACTCTTGGAACCGACTCCCAGAAGAAGTGGTGTCTGCAACCTCAACTGATTCGTTCAAGAAGGGTTTGGACAACCACAGAAATCTACTAGAAAAGGATTAACATAGGCTCCAAGCCTTCTATCCTGAACCAATAAATCTGAAATCTGAATCTGAAAAACTGCGGTATTATCACAATACCTTCGACTTCAGGAAATTTGTCATGCGGTCCAGTTTTCTTCTTAATACAGTTCTGGTGAACATTGATCCCTCACATTAGCATCACTGAATTCAGCAGCTACCTACCCCCAAATATGCATTCTATCCAGACAACCTTGAAGTCTTTGTCAAAGAATACCTGCTTTGGTGGATTTCCCTAAATTCTCAACATTCTGACTAGCACTTCTAAATGACGTGTTGCATAGGAGACGGTATCGCTCGTCTTAAAATTTCTATAAATAAGTAACGTTTAATTCACTTTTAGTAAGCTTCCACCTGCTGGTGTGTGTATATACTTCAGTGAAACACGTGATTATAAGCATCATAGCACAGGACATAACTGTTTTTCATCCTTCAGTTTCACACCAAATTCATCCTTTCATACATAGCCCCTAACAATTGGTTACATGATGTATAGAAATATGTATAATCTACAGTTCCTATTTCCATAGTTACGTGAGTTCCCTTTCCTTCTCCACACTCAACGAAATTGCACGTGTTCGCACTTATCATTGCATTTACCAGACCTATAAATCTTTTACGTAGTATAAATAATGTGTTAGCTGAGAAATGCATATTGTCAGGAGCGATTATCAAATCACGGCGGTAATGGCGCTTTAGCATTCATAACTTCTTTTTTGAATACTTGTTTCTACATTGTAAATTAAAAAGGCTTTTGCTTTATGTTGCTTTTAAAGCCCGTGTATCTTCATTTTAATTTTCTAGTATCTGGATGATTCATTTCTTCCTACATCAGTTACAAAAGCTCAAATATGCACGCGAACCTATGGGATGACTCCGACTCGGATGACGACTTACCGGCTGAGTGGGAGCAGACTGTTCAGGGTGATTTCGTTGCGTATTACAAGTAGGCATATTGTTATTGTAAAATATATGAATGAGCAATATTACGGTTTTGTAGCGATTGATTTCCTAGAGTATTTATGTAACAATAACGAAACTAATTAGTAAGAGGTACTTTGTTTAATTCATCACATATAACCAACCGGTAATCTTTCGAGATGGTTTAGTGCGCATAAAATGAGAAAGATTTGCAGTTGTCTCCGTAATTTTAATATTAGCTCCGCAATTATTCACTTGTTGGTGCACAACAGAGTTGTAGTTGTCTTAGACATTTGCATATGTTATATCTCTTAAAAATTCTGAATAAAGAAAGTAGAAAACCTGTCCGATGAATTCTTGAATGACTCAAGACGCAATCGATGAGTAGTGTAGTATTCTATTTATTCTTTTTCTTTCTACTTGTTCCATTTATACAGCCAACTTATTTATAAAATGTCAGTTAATTTTTGGAGTTCTTTACATTTTAAGGTAAAGCTGTCGTCTTCATTTACTCCTAGGGGTTGTTCATTCTATTGACATTAGTTTAATGATTAAAGCTGGTTTTAGTATGACCGCTTATTCTGAAACTATCTTTGAAAGGCATTAGTTGTGGAAATTAAAGAATCAGCTTACTACTGATAATTGACATACGGGAATTGAATCAATATATGATTCTTTCTCTCTCAAATGATACAAATATAAGCAGAGGTTAGATTTCATTCATACTTTTGTACAACTAGCTTTATTTAACAGAGGTGTATAGATTGTAGTAGTAGTCCTTGATGCTCATACTAGAAAACCTCTTCAGGCCGAAGTATTACGTGTAACCAATCAACATTGTAAGAAACTAGTTGTAGTATTTATTAGTATCTTGCGAATATAAACTGAACATTATTCGCATAACTATGTGACACCGTGATAAGATTTTAGAATTGTTAAGCCTTCAAGTAACTTATCATACTGCTGATTACAGAATTGTGTATTTTAGACCATTAAGATCTAAGTTGTCTTGGAAGTATTTTCGAAAGGGCATGCCTGCGTTCATACTGTGTGATGAACTGTAGGAAACTTTCATAAAGTCTTTGTAAGTAGATATTTTTTAGATCACTGGTAGATTACGTAAGTCAAAATCAACTGTTATCTAACGAAACCAGAGTAATAGGTCATTGGTCTGTACTGCAACCTATGGGCCGTCCCTTGGTGTAACACATTGAAGCTTTTGCTACATAATTGAAGCCGAAAGAAGAAATAATGTTAAAGGATTTTGTTCATTGAACGAACTTTGGTTTCAACATTATTAATTATTATCTAAACTATTTAGGCGTTTTCATATAGTCTAGCATCATATAAGATAAATATCTAGTAAAAGTACAAGCTGAACAGAGTTTTTACTTTTCGTTGTAAAATGACCAGAATAAATGTTTTAGCAAAGTTAGGTTTCTGTAAATGTGAGTAGACATTTTATGAAATAATGAATCTTCCTCAAAGTCTAAGAACATACTTTTCAGTGAATGAGTTTATGATTAGATTTCGTAAGCGAAGTACAGACAATTATTTCTCGTCAAACATATATCAATAAATTTATTTCATAGTTCGTTGTATTAATTAATAAGTTGAACACTAAACTGACACCCTTCATGATTTCAGTATTTTCACTGAACTGTAGATGAACACTTCTGTAATCTTTTTGTATTAAGTCAGCACTAAATGGCCATGGATGCTGCAGTGATGATGATGATGGGTGAATATAATCTTTCCCTCCCCTCTCCAAATGTTCTTATAATGCTTTCCAAAATTATCTTATGGAACTAACCACAGTAACATATTCTTGTTTTCAAAAGGGCGAAAATACCTACAGTAGTACACAATCGTTGGTGAAAGGTCATTCTACCAAAATTAGTGGGCAGCAGTATTCCTGTTCTATTCAACCACGTCAATGTTTAATTATGAATTCTCTTGGTGAAAGCATAAACATAGCAAGATTCATTTGAAGAAAGTAGAATACTCTAATTTGAATTGTTTAGACCAAGTGGCACAAACAAATTATTCTATTCAGAAGCGTTTAGTCTGATCCAATCAACTGTTCCTATTAAATTCTGTCTTCAAAGGAATGTGTAATGCATGTTGCATTACTTACATCGTATATGAAGTACCGAGAGTATATATATATATTCTTCTTCCATGCTCGGAAGTTGTGCGTTGGTGGTGCAGCGGTAGAACACTCGCCAACCATGTCCCACGTGCTCCGACGTCTGATCCTCGACCGACGCGCTCCTAAACCTCGCTAGGTCGGGAGAAGGGTGGTAAAGAGAGAAGGTTGTACGCGAGACTAGCAGTCCCTGTAAAATTAAAAAAAATTCACTGCCAAGCTCTAGCTTGTGACCTTATACTCCACTCGGATTGTTAAGGAATAAGAAAAAATTGTGCGTCGGTGGCACAGTGGTTAGGACTCTCGCCGACCATGCACATGGTCCGGGGTTCGAGCCCGCACCGGCGCACACCTGATATCTATGGTCGGCCTGCGAAATTTGGGCTACCGATATCCATGCTGAAAATTGCATACTTGTACCGAAAATACAGTGTGGAATCAAGCTGTAAATCAAAAAAAAAGAAATCAAATCAAATGTTGAGAACGGGTTCATGAATATATGATGAGGCGATATTTGTAATAGACTGAAACGTGTCTTCATCCTGCTGTTTTTTCTTGCAGGAGGGTAGTGTTAATACCGATTGTAGTAGCTTAAAATAACTCCATACACGTGAGTGTTGGTCATAAGTTTTTCATGCATAGTGTATTTCTCAAGTATTGCCGTCGGAAGATTTTTACAAAGAAACAAAAGTAGCTGTTTTTACTTACCTGTTTTGTTGTACTGTATACTGATCAAGAAGAATTTTCATTTTATTTATTTTATCAAGCCGGTTAACAGGATTTACACAAAAGCCGCACCCAATTTCTGGTCATATTAAACAATTACCATCCACCTTACCTAAAAGCTGGTCATCGTGTTTCGATGAATCTGGAAAGACACTTTATTTAAAGTAAGTTTGTAAAACATGTTTATAGTTCCATTGTATAACTAAAGGTTATTAATAAAAGTATCCTTTTCTTCGATGACACCGTTTTCATGTATGAACAGCTGGAGTTGATTGACATCAAACAACCGATGGTACTCAGTAAAGAGATCTCTTTCCTGTCAAACGTAAGACGATACTACAGAACTGAACTGCATTGGTTCACTCCTAGCTCAAAGATACGGAGGCTGAGTGTGTTGACTACTCTTATTTGAGAAGTTGCATCAGCCAGTCCCGGCGGGTTGATCACTAACGGAATCGCTGCACAGATACAGAAGACTCGTTTGACATTTGCTAACCAACCTACACCACCTTCGGTTTAGTAGACGTGATTCCATTATGGATAAGATTTTATTTTGATAAATCACACTGTTGTACAGTAATATTAACTGATGACGTTTCGAGCACAAACTATTGCTCATAATCATATCAAGTTGATATGATATCAACTTGACAAGTGGAGTTATCCTCTACCACAGTGCCCAAGTTTTATACTTTATATTAATTAGTAGACGTGATATCCGGCTAGCTAGTTGTCGATCAAAGGGCGCGTGTTACACTGCTCAGCAGTTCTCTCTATCCTCCTTTATAGTTGTCTGCGAGCGACACATAGCCATTGGAAGTGAAACACATCAAAACGCCGGCCAACTAGCTGTTTTTCATCTTCATTGTGTCGTCTGCCTTCTGTCTACATTCAGTGCTAGGTTAGGTGGTAGGTGTAATAGAGTGAGTAGTATTGAGTTGATGAGAGGTCGGTCGATTCCCAGATAAAGAAGATGAGGAGGGAAAATAAATCTATTGACGAGGTTGTGAAGTAGTGACATTGATTGAATGATATGGTTAGGGCATGTGTTACGCACGCACGCATGCCTGCCTGCCTATCTAGGCATCCATCGCCTTCCTCAACCGACGGGGAATGCTAGCTTCGTTGAAACAAGATGGATCAGGTTGGAAATGAGTTAGCTAGCATGTGGTGGTCAAACGAAAACACGGCTTCATCAGTCAATGAAGTCCGTGACAGCAGTTAGTTTAAGCCAGGCAGTCAGCCAACCAGTCAGCTAGCCAGCAACATAGGGAGGTGTAGACTTTGTGACTGACTGATTGGGATCCTCGAGATGGTAAGAACCGATGAAGGCTGGAGATAACTCGAGGTGATATGGCTGACTCTAAATCGTCGTTGTCATTGACTGGCATCGATGCATTCAGTCCTTGTGATTTGTCACACCCTATAAAACTCTATTCTTCTTCTTCGCCTTCCATATTACTATTCTTTTTCCATCACCCTCACTTGTGTTTGTCATCGCTGTCTCTTTTAAGTCTCTCTTCTCTTGTTTTGTGTGCAACATGGAAGGAGGGAGAGTGGCAACTTGAGCTGGTGTACTTCTGAGCAAAGTTCTTTCTTGAAACCAGTGAGTCAGTCAGTCACTGAGTAAAGACCTTGTGTAGCGTTGTTCCGCCAATCATGGAACCGCCCAATGTTATGTTGAATAACTTTAAGTATAAGGTGATAATTTCTCAATCATTATGTTGTCAAGCAATTTTACCTGTTCTGTAAGTATAATTTGCTGTTTGATTTAAAAAATTGTCATAAATTTTAAAGAGATTTTACTGCTTTTTTCTTTCAAATATTTTTTACTATGTAGCTCAGAAACTGGATGTTCGACTTATTCGGATCCACGGCTAGCTTCAGCTTCATTAGCCTATTCTAGGAAGTTGAATATGAATCACCAATTTAAATATGATAAATTTTCCAGTGTGAAAGACGTAAGTTTGTATGCATTATGTTATGTTATTATACTAGAAATATTTTCGATAACTTGAAAGTTATATGCAAAACAATGAAAGCGAACATTAGTGAAGTGAACAGATGTAGATGTAGATGGCAAAGTAAAATTCTCATCGATATGGGATTTAGTTCCATTCATGCACACAAACAGGAGAAATAACGTAGGGTACGGTGGATTCATCGTTTTCTTTTCAATTAAACACACTACTAAATTTTAATTCTTGCAAAATTATCATTAACCAGCGGTATTCACGAAGTCAAGCAAGGGAACAGTTATTCGCCTAATGTTGGACGGTGGTTGCGTGATATATATATATATTTATATATATCACGAATTGGCAGAAGTTGGGACTCATGAGCTGGCCATTGGGTTGGGTCCCAGTGGCTGAGTGGTCTACAAGGTCGCCTTGTAACCAGAGGGGCCCGGGTTCGAACCCTGTTGGTGGGTTCGTACTGCTGAAGAGTCCCAAACAGCTCTGCAGTAATCGCTACTTTTTTCCAGTGGTTCTGTAACTCGTAATCAAACCTGTAACCAGTCAAACCCCTGCAAAGTAACACGATATTATTATTATCATCACTAATATCATTATTAACGTGAGTAAGAAATAAATCTGCAGTTGAAGGGAGAATTGGCTAAAGTTAGAAGTAGAATGCAACATATTCAAATATATATATATATAGTTTCTCATCTCCCTACAGGATTTCGTCCATGTCACCCTCAGATGACCCATCTATTTGTTGTTTCCCATTCCACTCGAGCTATGGTCTGGCGCGCAGTTTCACCCTACGATCTCCCCAGCGTATATCCGGTCTTTCTCCATTTTCTTCTACACATTTGGCGAACACTGGGTTAAAATGTATAAATACAAAAGTCTCACCTGATATAGTATGAAATCGTGTTGTTCACCAAGTCGGATGTGAAGATGAATGCTCACAGTTGATGTCTATTTCCATTGGTGCTATGTCGCAAATTAATTGAAGTTAGAATCTATATAGTACTGATTAAGTGACATGGGTAGTTGAGTACCACCTATATGCTTGTTGTCAGCCAGATTGAAGTGATCTAGACACCAGACCGTCGTTCTCCTCGTTTGGGGTCAAGCGCATCAGCAGTTTACCGTGTTTGACTCAGCCTTGAGAGCCAAATCACTTGAAACCACCTGAATTCTGAGTTTATACTTACTGTATTGATTAGCATATATGGTACCAAGCAGAACACACGTTGTCATCTGAATAATTTAGGTTTCCAAAGGAAACTATGGTTAAATTTCACCTCTTCGAACTGTGTAAATCGCAAATGGCGAATTAATTCGAAAATTACAAATTTTATATACAAGTTATAGTCCGTAAGTCATTGTATTCCAATCTAGGGGCTTGGGTGTGTACTTCTCAAGAGTCTCAGACTAGAGCGAAACGGGTATCCAGTGTTTCCTGGTTTTCACTGCCTCTTTAACTGATGCCGGTTTGTGGCGAAATCCCTACGACGGAAACACTTAAAAGCAGTAGTTATTCAACTAGAATGTTTGAGGCAAGTATCATTTATGACAAAAAGTCGTAATCATCCAGGAGCTCTGGCAACAAACTAACCAATAAACCTGTCGTACAACAAAAATATACCGAAAGAAATGGACTACACATTGCACACTGAGTAGTCTGTTAATCATCCTCGCTCACCGACGACGTGAGCGTTGGTACCTGATATGGATGTGGTCATTTGAAGAGGAAATGAAAGCTCATAGGCAATTGTGGAGCCAACCAGCTAATAAAAGAGGCTGGAAAGAACACAGTGAAGTGGTGATACTCTGCTTAATATCCATACTGCACTCAAAACCTAAGGGAATCATGCATATATATATGTATATATATGTTTCTGAGTAAATACTGTACTCGAAATGTTTTTCCTTTAATGTTAATGCATCATTCATTGTATGTTATATCAAAATAAACTCGCCTAGTATGGAATGCATGAACCTAGTGAGTGCTCATAGGTATTGCTAGACATGCCTAATTCAGTGTGTCTGACTCTCTCTAAATACGATAAGATGTAATTTATAGTCTGGAGATTGATGGTGTCAGTATGTGTTTCGTTGGATTGCATTAAATTCGAAACGCATGAACCTTGATAAGCTGTATGTCTGTATATATCATTGCAACAGCGATAGTATTTGAAAAAAACGTGTTAAATCGGATACTACTGTAGGGGACTTGAGCCTGTAAATATATTGTCCTTGCTCAACATTGAAACACAAGGGATTTACCAATTTTTCAAAGATGTTGTAGGAGGTGTAGGATACAGTCTTGGTTAGCTTTAGAAGCACTTCATTCATTGATTTAGCTCTTTTTACCGTGAACTATTATTGATTTAAATAACGTGCAATATTTTCACGGACAAAGCCAAAATTAAAACAAGCGCTCAGTCAGAATTCCGATTTGACTTTGAAATCAAGGTATGCGATTTTCTGAGGGTGGGGTTCATAAAGTATTATTCAATTAACAGTTGGCACGTGTAGTTGGTTGTCCATCATCTGTCGGGTACCAGACAAGTTGGCGAAAACATCCAGGCACCGTATACTCCAGATAGCAGAGGCTTTCGCGATCCGCCTGAGACAACCAGAGCTCTGTGTACAGACGAAACGGGTCCAACCACTATTACTGCTCTGGCTTGATTTGGAGTTTGAAAATTTATAAGTACCTTATTGCACATCGGCCTTTTTGATTATAGCCCTTCATCCTACCCCTTGTCATTACACTTGCAATAACTAACCTTTTATTTTCTTATTTAAATGTAGTTATTAACTTACACACTGACACACATACAACGCCCGTCCTTAATATGAGTATTCATCCATTTTTTAAATTTATCATCATTATGAATAGAACTTAATATGAACATGACTCATGAGAATTTATTTCTGTTCATTCGTTGTCATTCGTAATCATTTACTTTGTAATATTGGTGGTCAATTTAGTATTACAACTTTACATATTATCACATACACAGGTATTTTGGACTATAATCTATTAACAATCTAATTGCAAATAACTTTCGGAATTCTAACCAAAACGATTCGATGTTACTCTTTTTAAAAACCACTAATGTTGTCAATAGCAGTCATTCGTTCATTATTATGGATGTATTACTGTAGAACTTACTGAAGTTATCGAGAAGAATATTCTTTGTTCAATAATCAATCATTTGCGATTTCGAAAACGAGCATCTTTAATCAATTAAAATGAATAATATACCAATAAATTTCTCAATCTTTCTGTTCAGACCTTGACTGCCATTCTAATGATGCTTTATACATTTTCACATTGTCAAGTCGGTTAATTAGTAAAGATAACAAAACCATGTATAGACTGTTGGATTTGATAAGTCTATGGAATTATAAAAGCAGCACGTGGGTGTTTACACAATGAAATTGCTTATCCCACATTTGTATTGATTTGTCACTTCACGGGGATGGGGGGTGGGTGTCGCAACCAGGTCAAATTCTGTCTCAGACCATCATTCCTATTCAGACAATTCTGATTCCACTTAATTCGAAGTGCTCTTAGTATTAGACGCTCTCTGTGATATCTGAGATTTTTCTGCATTATTTCACTATTGTCAAAGTCAATTTTGTGGTTTGATTCCGTGGCATGTAGACGACCCATAGCTGATGGTTTTTCCACTTCACAACTGGATTTCTTTGTGGTCAAACAGATGCTCTACAGTGCTCATTTCACCTGGTCGCCTTGATTTCTCGCCATGTTTGTATATCGCATGACGTTCTAAGCACTTTATTTTTTAGACAATTCGATTGTGAATCCCTTGGAATTCGGTCTTTTACACGAACAAGGTTGCTTTGTAGTGCGTGCGTGTGTGTGAGTGTGATGTTTTGAAGAAAACTTTGGTCGTCTGCCGTTTCCGGTCCATATGAAATAACGATTGTTGAAGTCCATGTTTGATGCTGTTGGCGTTGATTTTGGTAATTAGGTTGTTTGGATAGTTATTTTTCTTCAGTAGTATTAGATATTTCTTCTTTTGCCTTCTTATCCGTTTTCAACGAGTGCACCCGTCTAAGAAGACTTTAGACAACTGAGACACCTTTGCTCTGATGGGATGCGATGATCAAAAGTTTACATATCTGTTGGAGTGTATTTTCTTCCTGAATATAGATAAAAAATATTACAAAATCACCCCATACTGATGAACGATAATTAAGTTGTTATACATGAGCTGAGGTTTTGTAAATTCTAGTTCAATAATACTTTGATAAAGTTATTGGCAGCAGCATTAAGCGGAGAAATGTCAGTAAAAACAACAACAAAAACAACAAGAATATTCGTCTTCTTTCGGTTTTTTTAATGTAACTAACTGTTTATTGTGTTTTAGATTTTGTTAAATAAAGATCTCCGTGGACACTATGCGCTTGTTACCAATTCAGGTTGTGGTCTCGGTCTGTCAATTGCTCTTCATCTCGTCAAACATGGAGCGGTGGTTGTATGCGCCTGTTCTAAATGTCCTAACAAGGCTATCCCTTTGTTGAAAAACACCGAAACACATAACAAGACTGGTGCAACTGTAGACGTTATTTCATTAAAATCAGCTATTCAAGATTCTGGCCAACTTTTTTGGATACCTTACGACCCTTTAAAACTATCCAGTATCACACAATCTCTTCATGTAAGTATTTTTAGTTTTCCTCTAAACACCCTCTACTCGTTTTATCAGTTGGATATACTAGCCTGTCGTTTGTCTTCGTCGATCTTGAAAACACCTTGGGCAGCGTTGACCACGAAGTAATTTTTTTTAACAATTTCGCTTTTATTCCAGAAACAGTACTTGTGGTATAGTGTGGAATTTTCAGCACATATCTACAATATTGCATTTAATTTCATCATACATTTAAAAGGAGTATTACAAAAAAAAAATAAATATAAAAAAACAACAAAAAACCAAAAAAGAAACACAGAAATAACAACAAAAAATGCAGATAAAAATACCAAGTAGAAAGGAAGGTAAACACCGATAATGAAAAAAATATTTCAGTATTGGGTAGTGGAAGCTATGATATGTGTATGGGTGGTGAACAATAACAGCTATAATCATACGAGAAATTATGAGATGTTCTTAAGAATGTTTATAGCCAAGATGATCAGTTAATTTGATTGAACTACACTAAACAATCATAAAATAAACATTACAGGGTTTTTATTTTTATTGTCAGCACTAATGCAGTGTTTGTAGTGGTAGTGTGAGTAAACCTGCATAATACAAAATTTTTAAGATGGTGACAGTGGCGTTGACAAACAAGATTGTCAGTTAAATAGTGCTGAACAAAGAACAACTACAAAACTAATATTACATGATGGTTAATGACAGGACAATTTTGTAATAATCATAGTGATAATATAGTCGGACCCAGTAGATATACAAAGGAAGGAATAGAGTAAAGCACAAAAAAGTAAGCCAATGATAATAATATTAAGTAGCTAAGTATGTTTAAGAAGGTTGTTCACTATAGAGTACAAATAAGAGAGTATAAGGGGAAAATAACGAGGGCCAAAATTATGTTATTAACAACAAAGCAAGTCAAGTCATAGGTTTAGCGCTTAACATTGTCTCGTCTCTGTCACTTAGACCATGGGTCAAATATCGTATCGTTGAGTTCCTATACTTGGTTGTACGAGCATATATTTTTTGTACTGATTTCTGGTTCTACCTGATGAGATGCAAGGAGAGAGTTGGGAATAGAGGAGGTGTTGGGGGTCAGAGAGTATGGTTTTAGTCCATTTCTCGCATGTATTCAGATGCTTATCCACTAATGTAGTGATGAGCTGACTGAGTTTTACACCGCTAGTCCTACTAACTACCTTCAACATCCTTCTCAGAATGGTATAGTCCTTTTTCAGTAATCCAGGAAAGACTAACGGGGAGCAGTAAAGTAGAATAGGTAGGATACGAGAGTTGACAAATTGTGAAAGCAGAGGTTGAGGGACTCCAGTTAGTCTGAGTTTCTTAATGTAGTAGGTTAGACTTCAACACTATGGCGTGCCCTATAAGTCTTTATCAACCACACTGTACAGTTATATGACGATGTCTCATGTCAAGTATTCTGCAACGCAAAATTCATCTAGGAGTCTGAAGTGGGGAGAGGATAAAGACAAAACTGCCCACTATCATCCACGATGACTTTCCTAATTGTAGTGTACTGGATCATGAGGCAAGCCGTGGAAAGCGAGAAGACAGGAATACTTTCGACCGATAAGAAGACTAGAAGATCTGGATTTCACAAGTGGATGATTTATGTCCAGTGTCACACAGACTCGAAGACTTCCAGGCAAAAACGAACAAGTTGGTTAAAGAGGCTGGCTGAAAAGTCAGGACTTGAAGTGAACATATAGAAGACAGAGGTGATGAAGATAACCGTTCAACAACAAGAATCAATTACTGTCATGGAGGAAATTTGGAAAGAGTTACTTCCTTCACTCACCTAGGAAGCAAATTTTCGACTACAGGTGGGACGCATTTTTTTATTGGAAAGATATGACAAACCTTCACCACTCTGAATTCAGTTTGGAAATCGTCTGCACTCGGCATGAAGTACAGAATTTGGATTTTCAACACCATAGGCAAGTCAGTCAGTTCCTCTGAATGAGTGAGAAATTTGGCGTGTCATGAAAAGCATTTCCAACTGGTGGCTACTGCGGAGTTTGATAAACAGTTATCTTCACCTACCAACCGACCCCACGTTGAGAATGAAATGGCCAGAAAGAAGAAACTCTTGGAATGAACCAATGAAGAACCTGTTGCTCAAGAAAAACAAGCCGGTAGAAAATAGAGATGGACCTAACACACGCTAGAGATACCATTGATTGACATCGAGCTGCACACCGTCGATTGGAAACCAAATGCATGAGGAGAAGTTGGATGTCCAAGTGTGACATGGTGTAGATCAAGTGAAGAGGAGATGAAAGCTTATGAGCAGTAGTGGAGCCATCTGAAGTGAACTTCAGATAACAGGATTAAATGTAGGTATGCCGTTGATGAGGCCGTACATTCCACTCGGAACTAAACAGAATGGTAAATAATAATCGTTTGCAGCTAGTAGTCAATAGACTGCTTATTCCCATATCCGTTCTCAGCCTTCTTACAGAAATTTTTATAGAATTCCAGACCTACATGTTTATATGAAGTACGTGTAGAACTAGTTTTTGAAATAATTTCTATTTATCAAGGAGGTTGAACGACTCATCCATTAGGCCTACTTTCCACGTAGACTTGGTTGAAAATCAGTATGCAGTATGAGCCCGGCCGACAACTGTTACCTTGCCGTGGTGGTCGTGCTTGAATACTGCAGTGACCCAACAAGTTAAACTGGCTGGGACTCATGTCCCTGCAGGTCCTACCATGTCAGGAAGGTTGTTTGGATAGCGGTTAGACTAAAAGCAGTTACCATGGGTTACATGGGCTCCAGAATCCAGTCGGATCAAATGGCGTATGAACCCATATGGGTCACCGGCAACCATGGGAATGCTGCTCCTGACGCTGCACTACTGCCTTGCGGATTAGACTCCAAGTCAAAGGCTCGGGGGGTGGTCCCTTAAGAAAACCACGTGCTTCGGTCTGGGCGCCTGGGCAGTATCTTAGCCTTCACACAACAAATGTAGTGTGGCGCATCTTTCCTAGTGAACTATTGTACCAAGTTTTTTATGCGTTTAAATAAATAGTGGTATGCAGTGTTCTGGAATTCGTCATAAGTACCTTACTACCATCAATCAGTGCTAACAGACTTTAGCAAATTAGAGCATATTATTTAATGCTGGTCGTATCATAGGCCTCTGAAGGGATTTGATTAAATATATATTATTTCTACACAGTCATCACAATAATTCAGATACTGACTAACAGTTGTGTAAGGAAAATAAGATATATATATATATATATATATATATATATATGCATATATGTGCATATGATACCCTTTTCGCCTTACGTAGTTGTTTTGTCTATCGAACTTGATATTTTGTTCCTTTTTCAACAGATATTGCAATCACTGAACTGGCCTTTACACTTTTGTATCATAGCTGATGATATGTTTCCAGTTGTATCGCCTCATCTGTGGAATTTCTCTTTTCTTAAAAGGTGATTATGATGTATTTTGTCGTTTATATACTACAGCTTTTGTGAAATGGAAATCTGCAACAAGCTCTGTTATATTTCTTCAGTGATAGATTTTATCAGGAACCAACATTAATTAGATAGGTTATGTGAAAACCAAAGGATAGTGTGTATGTATGTATGTATGTATGTATGTGTGTGTGTGTGAGCGCATGCGACAGCTCCCCCTGCATGTGTTTTAACTTAGATCTCTTCAGCGGTGTGAACCTTTGATGAATCGTGGTCAACACTGTTTCATGGGCTTGTTCAAATCGAAGAGCGCAATATTTGACCAGTTCTTCTTTGTTCCTCCAAGTAAATTTCTTGCTAATGTTGTTTTACAATGAATTCTGTTTAGTGGCGGTATATATCTCCCCTGCAAAAATTAACATGTATTCGGTTGATAGGATTGTACTCTAATGTGTGCTTACTTAGTGTTACGAAAACAAGTGTCTCAGGACAGTTTATTTAGTAGGGATTTTGGTGGCGAAAGTAAATCACATATCCGTGAAGACAGTTATAGCGGAATGAAAAATTAAGCATAGTTTAATAGTTGAACAGTGGGTATTTCTAACTGACCTTCATCTCGAAAAGAGAAAGGCTCGGAAAAGATGTAAAATAATAGAGTTGTTAGCTTCATTTTGTGATACGAACGATTGCTTATAAATAATTTGTTGCGTTCACTGTGTTTCTTAAGCTAAACAGACTACATGTAGATGGAGTTTCATTTTCCACGGGGTTATTCTCAGAGGGGATTGATTTTAACCCAAAACATCTGCAGGAACTGAATAAACGTTTATAGATCAGAGGTTTGACCACCAGTTGACATCAGTCAGAGTACCATTGGGAAACCACCCGGGAGCACTAGATAAGTGTTTCGTCCAACTTTGGGACTCCTCGACAGTATGAACCCACCGCCAGGGTTCGAACCCGGAAACTACGTTGCACTGATCAAGGCTCTCTACTGAAACTCATGCAGTCAGGTGAGGGCTGACGGCGAGCTGTCATCTGAACTGGTGACTACTAGTGGTGTCCGTCAAGGATGCCCATTATCTCATTTTCTATTCAACTTCATCATAGATGTGTTAATGAACTTAACCCTAAGTGACTTCAGTGACTCAGGAATTGACTTGCTACCGGGGAATAATCTCGTTGACTTGGAATATGCAGACGATATAGTCCTTCTAGGCGAAGACGCTGACGAAATGCAGAGTCTTTTAAACACCTTGAGCTGCAATCTACGAATGTTTGGCATGCGATTCGCTCCCGCCAAATGCAAGATGATGTTACAGGACTGGACTACATCGACTCCTAGTTTAAAAATAGAAAGTGAAGTGGTAGAGCACGTTGACCGCTTCACTTATTTGGGAAGTACCATCAGCCAGTGCCAACGGGTTGATCTCTGACGAAATCTCAGCACGGATACAGAGGGCTAGTCTCGCATATACCAGTTTACGCTGTCTCTGGTGTAGACGTGATATCCGGCTGACTACCGACCAAAGGGTGTGTGTACCACTCAGCCGTCCACTCCGTCCTCCTGTGACTGTGAGCGAGAAATGGTCATTGATAGGGGAAGACATGAAGAGCCACTCTAGCTGTCTTTGGTTGTAAGTGTCTGAGATCTATTTCCCGTGTGAAGTGGTATACTAGTGTGAGCAATATTGAGGTTAGGCGTCGGTCGAGTACTGGGTAGGTGGGAGGGGAAGTCAATCAACGAGGCTGTGAAGCTACATCGATTGAGATGGTTAGGACATGTGTTACGTATGCCTAGTCACCGCCTTCCTCAACGGGCAATGTTAGCTGACATAGGGTCAGGCTGGAAAAGAGCTAACGGCGGTCAAACCAAAACATGTCACCAGTCAATGAAATCCACAACAGTTTATTTAAGCCACGTAGGAAGGTGTAGACTTCCTAGCTGCTATCCTCTTGACGGTAAAAACCAATGAAGGCTGGAAACAATTGGTGATATGGCTCAAAATCGTCCTCGATTAAGGGCGCAGATCCATCAACTCCTTGTGACTTATGATATCCAATCAAAGCACATTTTTCTTCGTTACTACTATTCCTTTTGTCTCAATCTCTGTCTACTGTCCCTATTTTGCATTTCTTCTACTTTCTTCTATTGCTTTGTGTACTACAAGGAGGGAGTGTGGTGACTTGAACTGCTGCAGACCGGTGCAAAGTTCTATGTTTGAAAACATACAGACAGACAGACCCGGAAACTCCCAGTTACAAGGCAAGCTAGTAGACCATTTAGCCACTTGGACCCGATCCAATGACCAGCCCATGAATTCCAAGTTCTGCCAATTCGTGATATATGTATGTAGAGCGCAACCACCAACCAGCGTCATAGGCGAGTAATTGCTCTCCTACTTGATTTGGGGGACCTCGGTGGTTACGACTTTAAGGATCACTCGCTTATGTTGTAGTAGGAAAAAGCCTATCTATGTGAGTGGTAGGGCTTTGAAAACTGAATAAGCTATGGCCTCTCTATGACCTGAGTTAGATGTGCACACCATAGTTTAGTTAAACTGGGTCTTTCGACTAGTGTGAGCCGAGCTTAGAGTTTCAGATGAAGAGGGCAGGTCAGTCGATCAGGCTGCAAATGTGTATCGATTGATATAGCTAAGAAACGTGTTACGTATGCCAAACCGTCACCTTTCTCGTCGAGCAAAGTATCACGTTCAAAAAAAATTAGAGAATGTCAAATCAAAATATGACGATAATCCGTCATAAGTCTTTGGTCGCTGATTTGAGCCACAGGGAGGGAGGCACGAGTGAGTTTCGAAATACCAGGGACCAGTTGCTTAAGATTGTCAGTGATATGGCTCAGAAATGTTCTCAATAGTGGTGCAGATGTATTGTCACTTTGTAATCTCCAAAATCCATCAAGTCCTCAATGGTCTCCACATGCATTTCTGTTTTATTGGATTATTTTCTTTACTTTCGTGCGCTATATAGAGTGAAGCAACTTAAAATGCTGCGTTTCTGTACAAACTGCTACATTGAAAAGTCAGTCACTCAGCTCACAGACACTTAATTCCTACTGTAACGATAAATCCTGTCCTGTGAAATTTTGTTGGAACCTAGTTTTCGTTTCTCACAAAATTGGATTATATGATAGAATCAGTACAGCATATGGAGGGTATGTGAGGATAAACACTCCCCGATGACATTGGCTAGTAACACCCGAACTACATCGTAAATTGGCAGAGGTTGAGATTCATGGGCTGGCTGGCCGTCCCAGTTGCTTAATGGTCTGCAAGCTCGCCTTGTAACCAGAATGTCCCAGGTTCAAACCCTGTCGATGGGTTGGTACTGCTGAAGAGTCCCAACCAGCTACCCAGTACCCCGAGGTTTTCCAGTGGTTCCCTAACCTATGTCAGCTCATGATGAAATGCTGTAACCAATAAAGTCTCTGCAAACCAACACTTGAATATGGAAACTGTACGATAAACGTAGTGCCGTGTTTTCTGATGCATGGTTCTGCTATCAAATAATGTGAATGAATTCACAATTCAGCAGGTAATAGTACTTTACTTTACTTTTTACTTTACTTCGGTTATCTCCTACGGGAGGATGAGCCGGCTTCATGAACGTCTCGAATCATCGCTGCCCAGGCGCGGCAATTTGTAAGAGAGTTCATGAAGTTCCATGGGAATTTGGTACGAGTGATGTCCCCAGAATCGCTCGGCCTTTTGTTTGAGAGTGCAGCTCTAGCCTTTACACAACCAAGTGTGACCTACAAGGCAGTAGGAGTGGAGTAAGGAGTCCACTATCCATTGGCAGCCGATGACCGGAGTTCGGTTCATGCGCCTTTTTGAATGGGGCCAGACATCCAGGACATCCAACAAGCCCTTTGTCCATACGTCTGCCGGTGAGCTCCAGTGAGCTTCATACGCCAGTCGTTGGAGGTTTGGAATCAGGGTTTAGCCATCTCCCCTAGACTGTCATCCAATGGACAGTCAACCCGGTGGAGAGCGCCGGGCATCCGCTTACGCCCTCTCACTTTGGTGAGAAACACCTCCGCCACGTGAAGGCAGTGAGTAGGACTTCCTCAGGAGAGGCTATGTAAGACGCCCGGTCATATGGGAGCATTTCAAGAGGTGTGCGGAGGGGTGGCCAACCCGCAGCGCAAGGCACCCACCCCCGACCATCCTGAGGCTTTGGAGGCAGGTAATAGTGACTTCCAAAGTCCAGGAAATCAAGTTTGGCTGTTCATGATGTGACCAGTAAGAAACCAAAACGATCATAAAAAGCAAGTGATTTTATGACAACTCAACTGATAATCAAATGTATGCTTTTATATGTGTTCTCCTGAAGCCAATTTGTAGATGTAGAGGATATGTGTTTATGTAGGCGAATCTCGTCATCGGTATTGTTAATCGCGACAGATAGATTTTATGATGGACAGCTAATCAATATTATGTGACCTTTTTTGTCGCGATTATTGGTTAATTTAATGTAACTCACACCACGTGATGTGACCTTGAGTGTTCTTTGTTTTCTGTCACTCTACTAGTGTGTACATGTAATTAACTAACTGTTCATTTTGTCCGTTCCCTCAACACTGTTCCGTACGTTTTTGTCTCTTCTTGAGTGACAATGGGTTTTATACTTTTCTCGGTGTAATTGTATGACTTATTTTATGTTTTAGAAACAGATAAAGTTTAAGTCATTCTGTTTTTAACTATAGTTTAGCCAAGACTCTGTGTCATCAGTACTGAGGAAGGACTACATCTGTAGGCAAAATTAATCCTACAGGTATGATGTCTGCAAGTTCCACCGTGTTTAATACTTTGAGGATAATTGTAATTGTGTATTTACAAGTGTTGGTTTGCGGGGATTTGATTGGTTATACAGGATTTCATCATGAGCTGAACCATCAAAAAACCATCCTGGAATTCTGCACAGCTGTTTCGCCTCAGTGCTTGGGACTCGTCAATAGCACGAACCCGGTTACAAGGCGAGCTCCTAGACCATTAAGCCAGTGAGTGCATACTAGTCAAGAGTCAAAAACCTGGCTGACGAAACAGCTGTTCACTACTCCTAGGTTTTCGGACGGTTTTTAACCGATGTCAGCTCATGATGAAATTCTATAATTGCATATGCGTTAAAATATATTTACCAATGTTTCATGTGTTTCTTTCGTCTAGTTTTCAGTCATATTTGAAAGGATTCTTTCTCCATAGAACTTCAGGATGGTTGGCGTCTGTCCCCAGGTATCTAAGAAGTTATCAGTCGAAAGTCTGCAAAATGATTGCAAAAGTTTTACCTTTATCATGGAGACCTCCTTTATCGTGTGGATGCCCATCTAAGCTTAATTCATTGTTGACGACTGATGGATATGAAATTACAATGCAGTGTAATTATTTAGCTCCTGCTTTATTTTTAACTGGACTATTTAAAACAAGATATATACATTCTTCACATTCTTCTGACGTTCATTTGAACAGTTCAGTACATGATCAGACCAGTTTGCGTGTAGTGGTGGTTACATCAGAGGTTCACAAGTAAGCATTTGTTGAGGAATGAATTATATTTATAATGTCAAATTGGTAAAGTAGAAAGTCAAGGAATATTAGTCATTTGTAATTGCGAAATTCCCATTTACATGTTTAGAAAAAAAAAAAACAACTAACTGAGCGAAGAAATATATTTTCATTTAGTTCCTAATCATTGGCTAAGATTCTCAAAAGCGGCTTTCCGGTTTAGACTGGTCGTCGATATGTGTCTAGCTCGCTAAACCATTCAACCGCGTAATAGCTGGTTCAGATTTTACCGCCGTTGGACAAGAAACTCGTGAAAAAATAGCGTAAAAGATGGTTTTGAGTTTGATTGCATGGAGGATTTCATCATGAGCTGACATAAGTTAGAGAACCACTGCAAAACCTGGGAGTACTGGACAGCTGTTTCTTCCTAGTTTGGGACTCTTCATCAGAACGCATCCACCGGGGTGCGTAATAGAATAAAAAGAGCATTTATTGTGTGTTTTATAAACTGAGAATGTTGTTAATATAGTGGGTGGTTCAACGAATGTATTCTAACCACAGTGAATCAGTGGTTCGCCCGTAGAGATGGCTTGCCTACCACGCAAATTGTCCGAAATTCAATCCACTACCGGTGCACTCCTAGGCCTCACTAAGCCGGTATTAATTCAGGTGAAGAGGAAAGGTTGGGCGTGAGGCTAGTAACCCGCCCACTGTGGAGAAGAAAACATCACTGCCAGTGAAACTTCAAAGCTCAAGCTTGAAACCCTTTGTTCCATTCAGAACGCAAAGGATTAACACAAATAGTAAATAAGAATTCTAACCAGAAGATACCAGTAGTCTAATCTGTTATAAACTCATTTGAACTGATCGTTTCATCCTCTGCCTTCAATCAACAATATTTAATTTTTAATCTTACCGCTGATTTTATGCATACTGTGTACTGATATAATTTATTCATTGATATATAACGTGTCATTCTTTTCACCTTAGAGACGCGAGTTTAGATGATTTTGTTGTCAAGAGGTCGAATGTTTCAGAGACATTTCAAGCTGTTCCTGTATCGTTGGTTGACAGAATGAAGCAATATGCTATCTCAAAAGTATTCATGTTGCTATTTGTTAATGAATATCAAAACCGTCTACGTGAAGACAGTAGAACTAGCGGATTTTCATACCCTGTACCTTCAATATTTGCATGCACCGGATGTGATCCATTCTCTGTATATTGTGTTCGAAGATGTGTACTGAATATGTACTACTGGCTTTTCACAAATCCTTTTCTTCTACTTCTACAGTTAGTCTACCTTCTATCAAGGCCGTTCGGTGTATGTTTGGTAAGTGAATGAAGCTATATTTAAAAAAAAACATTTATACAGCCAGTTCCTTTTAATGGTTTGAATATAGAAAGAACAAACACAATTTGCAGTTCCAGGATAAAACGAGCCTGTTTTATTTAGTGAATTCTGCCTCTTCAACTACTTACATCCTAAACAAAATCAAATTATAAGTTACAAAATAATGTCTGAACATACTTTTCTCACAGTGACTTCGAGTTATAGATAGAAAGAAAGTATAGGCAACATAATTCCAAAGGTGGTGTAGGCAGACGTTAGAAGAGTAACTATTCATATAATAATTAGACAAGAGTGGCGACAGAGTTCAGATTTAGCTTGGAAACAAGGATGGGCTTAAGACAACAGAGTGAATTTTATGTATATTACAGTGAGGAGTTAAGGTGGGTGAGGGTGAATAGTGAATTCGAATTATAATATATAGACAAAATAATTTGGTAGATATGGAAACGTAGTAGTGATGAGTTCAACTCAGTGAGTGAAAATCAAAATCAAAAATGAGTGGAATGTTGGGCTACAGAACAAAACACAAAAGCATACGACAAAAAAAACAATTACGGTTACCAGGGTATTTAGAGATTAGTTACACCATCTTTCTGTATACATTGGTTGACTCGAAGTCTTTTGATAGTGGTGTAATGGCTTCTGCGAACTGAAGTAACCATACTTTTCTTTATGCATTGATTATTTTGAAAGCTTGACTAGTATCCACTGTATGTCTCGTATCAATTAGGTGTGCGTCGGTGGCACACTGGTTAGGACTCTCGCCGACCATGCACATGGTCCGAGGTTCAATCCCCTACCGACGCACACCTGATATCTATGGTCGGCCTGTGGAATTTGGGCTACCGATATCCCTCCTGAAAATTCCATACTTGTATCAAAAATTCGGTGTGGAATCAAGCTGTAATCAAAAAAAGTATGACAATTGCGCTTGAGAACACTTTCCTACCTTACAAACGAAGACTTTTAGGGATATGCTTGGAGAATCTCGTAGACGTGTTTTCCTCTCAGTCCTTCCTCATGTACTTGCTGCCGTGAGTGCAGGTGAATTGGTAAATGCAGTTTCAATTGACATGATTGTTATCAGCTTATGGGCAGAAATAAATTTTGTGGTTTATATATATACACATATTTTGATTTCTGTTTACGGATTAGTAATCTAGTACTACTACTAGTGTGGTGAGAGCAGGCTGCTAGCCAATTGGTAGACATTAATCTACGTCAGTGTCTAGGTCACTAATATTGGCCGTGAGAAAATGTGAACAAGGCTGATTCAACAACCAATCACAGCAGACTTAAACGTGGGCAAATATGATTCGCAGATAGATGGCTCCACTTTCTTAGAAATCTCGAAAACAACCAACCAGAAGCCTGCGTTTGTCTGCTTAACTTCCGAGAAACAACCAATCAGAAGACTGCGTTTGTCTACTTGAATAAGCTATAATAATGTACAGGAAATATACATAAGTACGTGTTGATTTCCGAAATAAAACGATCTGTTGCCGGCGCTTGTCTTCTGTTTTTACACTAGTACTAACCTTGTTTATTTCGCTAGTTGAAAAATCAGGATAATGTAATATGATAGGCTGTCAACTGTTGTGGGGTATTTTCAGGCAGGATGTCTCACAGTTGGCTGGAAAACGGGCATTACACATTGCTGTTTACGTTGATCTGCTTGTCTAGATATCATAATTTACTTGTCAAACTGAAATTGACCATAGTTGACACCACTAAAAGTAAGAATATCTAGTCCTATTTTCAAAATTTTAGAATCCAGAAATTAGATTGATTTTGGGAAATTCAACACATATACGAATCAAACAGAGAAAACTGTCTTTGAAACCTTCATCACAAGTCATAAAATGGATTAGTATGCTAGACAAATCCATCCGGTTGGCTAGCTTGGTGGAAATTACTAAAGCTATGTCTCTTTGCAGTCTGTCTTCTAGTAGGTTTTATGAAATGTTGCTGCAAAGCATCGAATCAACTATACACATTGGAATTGTTCCCTTTTAGTGTAGTGCAAAGTGTTATTTAGGCGTTTTAGAAAACCGGAACATTTTATTACAATTAAGAGAATTCGCTTGAGGTGTCTAACCTTTGTCTGTGATAAACACCATTAGTTATACAACACATCTGCCCACCTAGGATAGTTGTTTTCTGTAAAAGTACTCATCCATCCATTCTTGAAAGCAGACAAGTCCTCCTGTGATAATCTTAGGAGGATAAGCTTGACTAACACCGTATCTTAAATTGTAAGTTTAATAATTATGTGTAAACTACGCGGTACTTGGGAAGACAATTCGGATTTCAGGCCCTGATATAGATTTATTTATCATACTTTCAACCGTTGACAGATTTTTGCACATAGGCATGCTTACCGATTTCCAACACTTACCGTTCCGCCAGTCTGTAGGTGGAACGATGCTCCCCAGATATGTGAAGGAGGCAACCTCTGTTTGTGCGTCGGTGGCACAGTAGCTAGGACTCTCGCCAACCATGCACATGGTCCGAGGTTCGATCCTCTCCCGACGCACACCTGATATCAACGGTCGGCCTGCAAAATTTGGGCTACCGATATCCATGCTGAAAATTCCATACTTGTACCAAAAATACAGTGTGGAATTAAGCTGTAAATAAAAAATAAAAAAAATAAAAAATAAAGCCATCCCGTTGTTGGTGATTGGTGCTGGTTGTTGTTGCTGTTGGTCGGTTATTTTCATCACCTCCGTCTTCTCTGTGTTCACCAGCAGTCCTGTCTTCGCTTCCGAATTCTCCAGCCAGTTTGTTGGCTTTCGCTTGCAAGTCTTTGAGTTTGTGTGGCATTAGACGTATATCATCCACGCGCAAAATCCTAGAGTCTCCTAGAATCTTACCATCGGTCTTCCAGCGTATTCCTGACTCCTGGCCCTAAACAGTCTGACGCATAATCCAGTCCACCACAATTAAGAATATCATCGGTGATAATAGGCAGTCAGTCAGCTTGTCTTACTCCTGTACGCTCTTCGAATGCCTCGCTGAGTTTTCCGTTGTGAATCACCTGACACGTAGCATCATCATATAGCCAACTTTTGAATGAGGTTAATAAAGACTTGAGCACTGTATGCCGTAGTGTTGAAGTAGTTTCCAAATTACTTCTTGATCAACGGTGTCTATCGAAGGCCTTTTCGAAGTTGATGAAGTTGAGGTACGTGTTTGACTTCCATGCTATCTTTTGTTCTGTAATGATGACGCGTAGAGCTGCAATTTGATCGGGACAAAATTTGCATTTGCTTAATTCAGCTTGTTCTAGACGGAGTTCTGTATCCAGTGCATCCCTTATTCTCTCCAGGATGATGTGACTTAGTATTTCATTTGGCATTATTCCACGCCAGTTCTTGCACAGGCCTGATTCGCGCTTCTCTGGCAGTTTGACGAGGTAGCCCTTCTTCCAATCAGTAGGCACCTTACCTTCTTTCCAAACTTTTTGCACCAATGGAGTGAGAACATCTTCCGTAATTTCTGGGGCCAGGAGGAATGGCATGTGGTCCTGCTGCCTTCCTGTCTAAACTTCAGTAGCTTGATCGCATTCAGGATTTCTGCTTTCCTTGAAGGAGTGGTGCCCATTGGCGTTTACGTGTTTGCTATTGGTGGTATTTCTGGTCGTGTTACCGATGTTGGTCGACTCAAGAGTCCTTTAAAGTGATCAGCCCATTGTTTGATTTGTTTCCCCTCCTTGGTGATCAGGTTCCCTTGAACATCTTGTATTGGTTTCATCATCTAGGTTGATCTCTTCCCGCATAGAGACTTGGTTAAGCGATATAGCGTTTTGATGTCTCTTTTGTCTGCAGCCTGTTCTGCTTCAGTTGTCGGTGTGTCGCAGAATTGTCTTTTGTCTTTTCTAGTGCTCTTCTTCACTTTATTCATTGCTGTTGTTCGTCTTTGCACTGAGTCAACTTCTCTTTCACCATCCTCCTCTCCTCGATTAGTCTCCACGTATCAGTTGACAGCTATTCCTCAGTGATCCCACGTAGTATCTCCGACTTCGCTCTGCTATATGTAGCGTGTTATGTACACGAAGCCACCGCTTTCCTCGCCGAACATTGTTATCAGTCATGGGAATAGGTTGGCAGACATTTAGCGGTGGACAAATTAAATCCTTGCATCAGTTCATGAGTTATTCGACTGTTGTTTCGAGCTATGTAGGGAGGTGTATACTGCCTGGAGGGGAATGTCAGATTGCTAAGTAAGAAGTAGAATGTGACCGAGAATGTTGTAAATACTATAGATTCGTTTACTCTGTTTGATCTTCCAGATCCATTATTTTTCTTATATTTCTATTTGTTGTTACTCTTCCATAAAAATCTCATCGTAAGTGTTCCTCCACCACAATAGGCGATTCTAGGAAACACTGTCAACTGACGCAGAAGAGACCGGAAGATAGACAGGACTCAGAAAACTCACTATATTAGATAATGAAATGGTTATCCGGGAAGAGACCGACACAGATGAGAACCAAAAAGATGGGGAACGTAACCTGCTAACCAAAGAGGTGAATGTGGGGAAAAGGCAGTCCAATGATCCCGGATGACTACTGAACCGAGAATCGCCTGCTTGTTGTCGGGAAATACCTGTTGTTGCCACAGAACTGTCAGTGAACATCACTCGCTGAACAAAATGGGGAGTGTGAAATACCATAAACTTACTTGAAGTGAGCAGCTGAGGTAGCAGGACTAGAGGGAAGTACACTGTCACTTAGACAGTCTGTTAGCCAGTTAAATGTGACGCACTTTGAAAAACAATTAAATTGGGATATAGCGGCAGTGTTCTAAAACACACAGTTCTATGGTCAGTTGACATGCATCTATATAACGTGGCGGATATCTTGTAGGCAGTACAGCTATTCAAGAACAAGAATGAGTCACAGAATTATATAGGTCCGCGGGAAACGCATTCTCAGGAAAAATTTTATTAGTATCCTCAGAGAAACATACCAATGCATTTCACGTAGAGTAATGGCAGTCAAATTCAAATGCGGTTACGGTTTCACAATTTCACTAAATTCCAATGTTCACATCTCGTTGTATGCTTTCTTATTGTACAACTCGGAAATGTGGCCTGTTGAAACTGATGATCTCTGGCGACTGGACGTAGTGTCATTGACATAAGAATAAAACTTGTTCACTGTGGTAGAGTATAATTCCATTATGGGTAAATTTTTGTTTTGATAAAGTCTCACAGTATTATACAGTAATGTCTACTGATGACGTTTCGAGCACAATTTATTGCTCATAATCATATCAAGGTAATCACATGACATCCTAACTTCATTTATATAGTTCCATTATTTTTCACTTGATTTGATTGGCAGTAGTTTTTTCCATATTTCAGGTATGAGTGATGACTCATTCCTATTGCTGTGTTTGGTGTAGACTCGATGAACAAGGATTCAGTAATCAACCTCTCTCTCCACCTACCTAGATTACTTTTTAGAATTTTAACCCTCTCCCACCCTATTGTGTGGTTGTGTGTTAATGCATGCATTGCAATTGCTGAGCTTTTTTCTAAATTACTTATCTTTTCAGGGTCAAGGAGAAGGTAAACTACACACTAGTGTGTACAGAAAACTAACTCATTCTAATAGATACTTAGACTTTAATTCATCTCATCCGTTGACTGTTAAGCCAGGCTTAGTTAAGTGTTTAACAAACCGAGCAGTAGCACTAAGCAGCACAGGAAAAGACCTAAATAATGAACTCAAACAGATAGAAGAGGCTTTGGTGTTAAATAACTATCCTATAAAATTCATTAGGAAGATCAGTAAAGACCAAAAACAGAATAAAAATAATTGTGGAACTATTAATAATAACAAAAATAAGAGAGAATATAAGTCATCTACAGTTATACCATATAAAGAGGGGACATCTGAAACCCTACGTAGAATTCTGAATAAAGCAGTAATTAGGGTGGCATTTAAACCTACAAACTCACTCAGGGACAAGCTGTGTATGTTAAAGGACCCAGTTGAACCAATTAGACAAAATAATATAATTTACAAAATACCATGCAATGACTGTGAGTGAGGTCAACTATAGAGGTCAAACTAGTAGGTCAGGGGTAATCAGATTGTCGGAACACAAGAATTTAGCTAGGGTAAGAATGGTTGACCCTGAAAAGATAAGTAATTTAGAAAAAAGCTCAGCAATTGCAATGCATGCATTAACACGCAACCACACAATAGGGTGGGAGAGGGTTAAAATTCTAAAAAGTAATCTAGATAGGTGGAGAGAGAGGTTGATTACTGAATCCTTGTTCATCGAGTCTACACCAAACACAGCAATAGGAATGAGTCATCACTCATACCTGAAATATGGAAAAAACTACTGCCAATCAAATCAAGTGAAAAATAATGGAACTATATAAATGAAGTTAGGATGTCATGTGATTACCTTGATATGATTGTGAGCAATAAATTGTGCTCGAAACGTCATCAGTAGACATTACTGTATAATACTGTGAGACTTTATCAAAACAAAAATTTACCCATAATGGACGTAGTGACCTTAGAAATTATTAAGTTCAAGTAAACTGGCTGTGCCTGCAGTCAAAATGGCTATTTTTTTTGTTAGATCTATATATCTTCTGATAATATATTCAAGTTTTTTAATTTTAACTCTGAGCATCTATCTGTGCTAGACAAACGTCATTCTTTGTCTTTTCTAAATACACCGAAATTAAGCAAGAGACATACATAATCATACATGATACTGGTTTGACTTTCCCCTCCTATCTGGATTCAACAACTCTTGACATGTGTATATTTCTACTCTTCTCAATGAGTCCAATACAATTAGATTTTGAATGTAAATTTCCTTTCATTTGCATTGTATGCATATTTATATAAACATATACGGTAAAAAAGTTCAATACAATTCCACTTCGTTTTATTTAATCTACATTTTCCCCAGGATCAGGCGACAGCTAGTCCCGTTTCCTGTGCTGTTGACAAGTTTACAAGTATCCAGAATTCACTTTCTCATCATTCCAACGTGATTCCGTATTACGACAAATGCAGGCGTTCCACATCGTTGTTGGATATATTGTCAGTGTGTAAATTGAATTTTCTTGCTGAAAATATTTTCAACTGTACTGAAAACATTTCTGTAAATATAGAGCAGAATGTGGACATCTAAAAGAACACAACAACTTTTACTGTGTTCCTTGTTGTTGATACTGCAAGCCCTGACACAATGTGATCACCGGTTGATACTGACGTGTATCACTTTCATCATCAATTATTCTGAACAAGTCATTCGCTGAAGATCGATCATCTGCCTAGGAGACTTATTTATTCGTTGACTTATGTGTGCATTTCTGTAAATAAGCGTAAATTAAAAAGAGATTACTTCTGACTGACTGGTTTCAACGTAGAACTTTGCACAGATGTGTGGCAGTTCGAGTTGTCATACTACATGTAACACGGAAAACAAAACAAAGCAGACACGGAAAAGAGAAGCGACTGAGAAGAGATTCAAACGAGAGATGATAAATGGAAGTGAGAAGGGGAAAAATAGTGACATGGAAGAATAATATAGTTTTATTGGATATTATAAATCACAAAGAGTGGATGCATATGTGCCATTGAGAACGAGCCATATCACCGATAGCCGTTAGCAATTGGCCTTTACTATGTGGAGGACCCCAACCAGGAAGTCTACGCCTCCCTACGTGGCTTAAACTTACTACTGTGGATTTCATTGACTGATGTAGCCATGTTTTGGTTTGACGACGACATGCTAGCTAACTCTTTTCCATCCTGATCCTATGTTAGTCAGCTAACATTTCCCGTCAGTCGAAGAAGACGACGACTGGGCGTAAATGCGCAGCACATTTCCTAGCCATCTGAATCCATGTAATTTTACTACGTAGTGGATCGATTTCTCCTTTTTACCTAGCACTCGACTGATTCCTAACCTCAATATTGCACAGGAGATAGAACATAGACATCTATGATCAAAGACAGCTAGCTCTTTCGTATCTTCAACTTTCATTGCCATGTCTCTCTCACAGCCGATCATAAAGGAGGGCAGAGCGAACTTCTAAACAGTGCACACGTCCTTTGGTCGACAACCAGTCAGCCAGCGAAATGCCAAAGGAGCCTTCCGAATCCGTGGTGTGATTTCGTCAGTGATCAACCAGCTGGGGCTAGATGATGCGATTTCCGAAATAGGAGAGATGGTTGTCGACCGGCTGTGCCGCCACTTCACTCCCTTCGTATGTTTAAGCTAGGAGTCAGTCGATGTAATTCAGTCCTGTAGCCTCATCATCTTACGTTTGACAGTGGGATCTAATGTCATTGGCAAACATTCGAAGATTTCTGATGTTCAAGTTTTTCAGGTGACTCTGCACTTTGTCAGCGTCTTCAATTAGGAGGGCGAACTATATCATCTTTCCTGGTGGTAACAAGTCAACCCCTGAGTTGTTGAAGTCAGATAGAGTTAAGAGCGTTAGTGCATCTCCGGTGAAATTAAAGAGAAATGGAGACAGTGGGCATCTCTGACGGACACCTGGTTGTAGTTACAGTTGTCAGATGGCAACTCTCTGTAGGCCCTTACCTCGCTCTCTGTTAGTCAGTCTATCTGTTTGTAAATCTACATAGACTGACACGGTTAGATTATCGATTCTAAGCCACCGTTTTCCTCGCCGAACATTGTTATCAGTCATGGGAATAGGTTGGCAGACATTTAGCGGTAGACAAATTAAATCCTTGCATCAGTTCATGAGTTATTCGACTGTTGTTTCGAGCTATGTAGGGAGGTGTATACTGCCTGGAGGGGAATGTCAGATTGCTAAGTAAGAAGTAGAATGTGACCGAGAATGTTGTAAATACTATAGATTCGTTCACTCTGTTTGATCTTCCAGATCCATTATTTTTCTTATATTTCTATTTGTTGTTACTCTTCAATAAAAATCTCCTCATCAAAATTGTTATCTCCACCTACATGCCATATACTGCTTTGCTTGTGTACTTTCTGTTCAAAGTTGTAACTCAGTCAGGCAGTCAGAATTCTTGCAGTTGAAAACTCAATGATCTGCATTGGAGAAAATCGAATCTTTTCACACAATACCTCGAATCACGTCGACATGGACGAATATAAACTGCATGAAACCACCAATGAGGCGTAGACAGTCATCACTGCAGACGATCGATCAGTGTTTATATGATGCACAGAATTTTCAGCCGAGTTCATTCAATGACTTATTTTCTGTTCATCCAGTACCTTCGACAAAAAAGATTCATTGACAGTAGATCGGTTGACACAGCTGTATCTCACTTGAAGCGCAATCTATTCCACCATGATATCTCTTCCTTCTCTAATTCGAGAAATACATGACATTTTGTTGAATGTTGACTGACAGAAGGTTCATCAGTACAATTTGTCAGGCAAGGACACCAGTGAGGAACAGTCAACTAATCTGTTCATATAAACTGTGACTGAGGATAATGCGTATTCGCCTGTTTAATAGAAACTTGCGAATCAGTAGGTTGTATAACTTCTAAGTAGTCACCAGAGTAAACAACACTGGTATAAGTGATATTTGAGTAGATTTGGATTGGACAAAGTGAATTGTAGGAGTTATATGCAATATAATGTTGGAGGCTATTGGTAGCCGAAGTTCTAATCAGCCTACTGGCTGGCTGACTGACTGGTTGCCTGGCAGGCTATTGAAAATAGGCGGATATGGTGGATACGTTCATCAATATTCAACTAATGCATGAGATTCCATTATAGATAAGATTTTATTTCGATAAATCGCACAGCTTATTATGACTGTAAAAACACTCGTCCAATTTTCCCATCTAATTGCAATTGATCAACAACACTCGTACGATTATTTCTGAATGTACATTATCTCACATTGATTTTTAATCCAATATCTAATCCATTCCACATATGTATATAAATGAGAGATCAAAGTTGTGTGAGTAACTTGATATGATTATGAGCAATAGTTTGTGCTCGAAACGTCATCAGTTCATATAACTGTAAACACTGTGCGATTTATCGAAATAAAATCTTATCTATAATGGAATTATACTCTACCACAGTGCCCAAGTTTTATACTTATATCAATAATGCATGAGATTTCGAGGAGTCGTTTTCATTCGTCGAATATCCGGACGTGATGAATGCAGATGACGAAGGATATACCGGTGACGATTATTTGAAGACCCAACACTATCGAAATGCGTTGCAGAGTTGTGAAGTGTGCATCAGGAAGGCCGACATTGGTGACACTACTCGACTCGAGGTAACAGGAAAACACATGTGAGGGCGATTCGCATAGGAGACAGAGTGAAGTGAAATCAGTTCATTTTAGAAGTGAATCACTCAGAATGTGGTTGTCATCCTCAACTGAAATTATCGGAAACAATTCAGTTACATTCACTTCAATTCTGCCACCATCTTCAACAACAGAAAGCTCATCCAATGACAACGTCTTCATTCTCCAGTTTATCACCTCCAACATAACAACTAACCTACTCACCAATCATGATGGTATACACATACTTGACTCAAGTCATCAGTCGACTTGTATGATATGATATGTCAGAAATACAACATGACGGTCTAAAATCGACTCTTTTTACTTCATTCTGTCCTCTATGAGAATCGCCGTCACATGTGTTTTCCTGTTACCTCGAGTCGAGTAGTGTCACCAATGTCGGCCTTCCTGATGCACACTTCACAACTCTGCAACGCATTTCGATCGTGTTGGGTCTTCAAATAATCGTCACCGGTATATCCTTCGTCATCTGCATTCATCACGTCCGGATATTCGACGAATGAAATCGACTCCTCGAAATCTCCGTAACGGTATATCCGTTTGGAATATCCTTCCTTAACAATCTATTCAGCATATTGATACTTATCGACACATTCCGACTATCTTTGTATTTATCATCTTTTTTTCTCTTGCGATGTATATCATTTTCCTGACATTTGCATATTACCTATTGACCTAGTCCTCATTATTTGGTCTTTCTTCCTGTTTAATCTCTAATTTTAATGCTTCTCTTCTGGTTATGTGATGGATGTTATTGATGATAATGTGTTTTGTTTGTCGATTTTGTTTGAGTGAGTAAAGATGATTGTGACCTTCGACTACGGAATCTTACGGAATTGTTTGGTGTTTTGGTTTCTTACTGCGAGAGAGAGAGAGTTTTGAACCCACCTGGTTGGCGATATTCTACTTGATTCTGAAGAACTTGTTGTCGTTGGATTTTTGTCAACCACTTTTGGGCTACAGTACTTGTTTTCTTTTCTAATAGAAAATTGTATAGACTGTACAGATAGTTGACTAACACCACTGTGGAGTTAATGTTGAGTTTTTCATGTTGTTATAGTTGAATAGAATCATATAAATCTTACGATGAATAACCATATTTTTTTCCATCTTTGGAGTGTTTTGTGAATGTGTGTGTGTATCTGTCTCAAGGAAGTTTTAGTCAGCTATGCATTTTGACACAAAGAACAGTTTCTGGCGTTCAGATCATTTCACAACAAGTGTGTTTTGTTGGCTACAGTCTTGTTATGTATGAATATTATGACCTTGTAGACTACGAGCGAATCTAACTTAATGCGCTGGCTAATCTGTCCCAATCGTACGTCATCATCAACAACAACAATAACAAAAATAATACCGCTGAACACGCAAGACAAAGAAAGAAGACGGGACGTTGATACGAGAGCTTATACTGTCTTTACAACAGTCGAAAATGTTAATCCAAACTCCGTATTTACACAGTTATGAAAATCAATGTCACATCAAACAAAATATTAACAATTAATAATGGTGCAGGTGCGAAAAATCAATATTGATGAGTCACCAGTGTATATATCAAGTCTAAATAGTGTTTTTGCGCACACAGTATAATAAACGCTACAACAGATATTCCAGCTGTGTGAGAAAGTTCACACAACCCAGCCCAACACAATATCTGATATATTCTGATTACAGTATTTCTTTATGCGCGTGTCAGACATACAAAATTAGATACTGGAGGAAATTCAAGTCGTAATTGCCCGCCATCATTCTGGGACGAAAGCGTGGCAGGTTTGATTTCCAGTAAATTATATCCTCAGCCTTTGGTCACCGCTACTTATAGTTACAAGTAAATATAATATTAATATAATTGTGAAACTTAAGTACCTGA